AATCTGAAATTTAGTATTAGGGTCGCTGTTCGTATGGTAGCCTGGTCATATGGAGGTGGTTTCGGAAATGTGTACTATAATAGTACGAAATGTATCTGAGATTGAGATATGGTGGTGGTTGTGGAAATATGTACCATAATTATATAATTTTACAAAAAAAAAAAAATACTTAATTGTTTAGTAATATCGTATTGTGTGAAGGAGTAGAGCTGAAATATGCTATTGAAAAAAAAATAGAATTCGTTTAAAATTTTGTTAATATCTTATATATACCAAATACAGGAAGTTACTGTTATTTTGGGCTCTATACGAAAACGTGCACCTGCATAGAAAATTTTATGTCGCAGACTGTAATACCCATTAGGAACTTCAAATACCAAATTTTAAGCTTTCCGCTGAATAGTGTCGCTAAAATCAGCAAAATACAGAAGACCTGGGCCTGTATAGGGAATTTTGTCACAGGCTGCAGTACCCGTTACGAACTGCAAATACAAATTTTGAAACAATTCCGGTGAATAATGCCGCTGAAATACCGAATATAGGGAGCCTCCCTTATATAGGGGTTATACAAAGACCTAGACTTTTTTCTGCCACAGGCTGTAGTACCTATTATTAACATTCATTACAAATTTTTAAACAATTCCGGTGCATATTGTCGCTAAAATCATAAAAATATCGAATATAGGAAGATCCCATTTTCTAGAGGTTATACCTGAAAATCCTGCAGACCAAAGACACATCTGAGTAAAATTTTATCAACCTGCTTCAATTCGTTCAGAGGCTAGAGTGATTTCCACAGACGGACAGACATCGCTAAATCGACATAGAATATTATGCTGATCAGGTTTCTTTTTGGAAAGTTCCAAAGCTGAAGAAAGTCAATTTCTCAGTATACGAGAGTTATACTTTATAACTGAAACAAGATAAAACCAGTAAAGAAAGTCCTAAAGTCGGGCGGGGCCGATTTTATGATACCCTACACCACTTTGCTAATTTAGTTGAGCTCCACATAACAATTAAAAGTTTTTGTGAGAGAATCCAATCATACACCCTATGATTATAATTATAATTTAAAATTCAAAGGACTAAATATGCCGAAGCATTTGAATCTTTTAAATTCGGAATTGTATTGCCCATTTGATGCAAAATTAATTTGAAATCAGATAAAGATATATATGGAAGCTATTTCCAAATTTGAACCGATCTCGATAAAATTTAGCAAAGGTATTTCTGAGCTGCATTTGATATATTTCCCCAAATATTGTTGTTACAGAGTGCATATTACGGCTGCGGAGGACAAAAATAACAAATCGGATGAACAATATATATGGGAGCTATAGCTATATCTGAACCGATTTCGATCCAATTTGGCATAATTATTTTCAGGCCTAATTTGGTTATATGTGCAAAATTCCATACTATTCGGACTGATATTACACGTTTGGTGCACAATAAAAGGCAGATCGGACGAAGATATATATGGGAGCTATATCTAAATTTTTACCGATTATCTCCAATTTCTATAGGGTTCGTCCTTGGGCCAAACAAATGTTGTTTGGAAAATTTCATCACAATCGGATAATAAATGCGACCTGCATTTTGTTCACAAGAATGCATGGACAGACGGACGGACGGGCGGACAAACGGACTGACGGACTGACATGCATAAATCAACTCAGAAAGTGATTCTATGCAGATCATCAAAAGGAACTATGGGTCTATCTCGTTTCCTTTTGCCTGTTACAAACAAATGCACAAAGACATAATACCCTGACCACCTTGTGGTGTAGGGTATGATGTAATCTAATGTAAACTGTATTAATTTATTAAATAATTAATTTTATTTCATTTATTTATATTATTTATTTTTTTTTTTAATTTATTTATATATTGACATTTCAATTTTTGTTTATTTTTTTGCAGGTGACGTTAACAGGTTAATATCAATATGTACCTCCATGTTGTAACTGAAGATGCAGTTTTGCAAAAATTTGTTTTATTTTTGTTTTTATTTTTATTTGAATGAATTACTCAAGTTATGTACCTTAAAACGGTGTATGATATGCTGTATTGTTGTTATTTTTTGTTAAAGTATATTTTATATTATTAAATTAATAAAAAAATTTGCATTTATTTAATGTTGTGTTTAATTTCTTATGATTTTCATAAAATTTGTGCTAGAAATGGACGACCATCACGCAAATTAAACTGACTTGGATAGGATTATGCCAATTTAGCAATAAAATACCCAATATTATTTCTATAATTCAAATTAGAACTGATTTTCTAGGAGCTTAAAATTCAAATTAATTGCACGGCTGCTACGCATTTTACTGGCGCACACACACACTCTACGGAATTAACACTTTGAATACAACAGGCGCCTCTCACTTACACATACTTACCGATTTACCGATTTACAGTGTATTTTGTTGCGCCTGTAAGCATGCTTTAGATTTTAATGAACTGCACTGACAGGAAAAACGGTAACACTGGCAATGATGCGTAAATAGCGCCATCTATTGAAACGCATGATCCAAAATGGGAAATTTTTTTTTTGAATGTCAAATTTTGACATGTTTTTACTGAGGAATGCAGTTATACAGACAACATTTTCGCAGAAAACCAATTTAACGGAAATACGTCAAGCCCAAGGGGGAATTTTATGTCACTCTGGTCGTGTCGGCCAGTTTATTCCCCACTCTGATTAGGACATACAATGACATTCGAAGGAAGCAAAATTTAAAGTAGTGTACGAAGAAAGACTATTTCGCTTAATTTTTTCTAATAATTCTATATAACACGCTAGCTGTGTCCAATCGTAATATTTGCACAGAATGTATGTGGGCATTTTTCTGTTAAAGACCATTACAAGCATATAATTAACAATTAAAAAAGCAGTTAAGTTCGATCGAGCCGAAATTTTAATACACTTCAACCTTTTGAAGGAACTTGAAAAATTTCAACAAAAGTCGGTAAAAATATCTCTCAAATGAAGCCCAGTGGGCCAAATTGTAGCCTTCATCTCAGTTTGTTCAAAAGAAAGCATCATAACAATAGACATACAGACAGATATCGCTTATTACGAGTATTTCGAGGAGTTACAAACGGAATGACAAAATTAATATACCCTCCATAGAATGGTGGATATAAATAATGGGTATAAAAACTGAAATCCCGTCTTCTTTTGTTATATTTTATAGTCAATACTCCTTATAAGCAGCTGTTTAAAATGTATGTTTAATAAAACCGATGTCTGTTATAGCCATGTTTTACTGTAATAAAAATGTCAAAATTCAGCATCCACAAAAAAAATCGTCAATTTTCAATCATGTGATTCAATAGATGGCGCTATCCGCATGTCTTTGCCAGTGTTACCGTGTTTCTTATTATAGTGTTTATTTTATAACTTGAAGCATACTTTCAGGCGTAAAAAAATGCATTACAACCTACATTCAATTGAAGAATAGGAAAACGAAAACTATTTCTTTTTTGGCGTAAATTACATTTATTTATAACAAATACATTATTTTATTAAACTAACTTAAATTATTAACAAAATCTATTTATGTTACAAATCTGTGTCGTAAATCCCAAGAAGTTGCGAATCCAAGCCTATAATAAAATAGAAACATTTATTAGTAATATTTTATTGAAACACAATATAATATTTAATACTTTATAGATCATCATTATACATTTTTCTGGAGAAGAAATATGGTGTTAATATATTACAATTGTTCCAAATACAATAATGTCCCACTTCACCCATAGTATGAATAAACCCCTCCATTAAACAGGATTAAGCAAGTTAAAATATTCTGTAAAGTTATTTGCCATAAAATTTTAGTGAAGGTCCCATCAAAACGCCAGGAATTTATAAATATTAAAAACTCATTTTATGGTTAAGGCCTTACTTCATGCAAGTTTATGCCAATTTATCCTAAAACCCAATTTTTATAGATTATTTCAATGACATAAATATAAAAATTCTTCATTAAATTTCACAATAAGTGACTAAAAAAAACTCTATTTCTCTGTCTGGCTATATAACTCCATCGAGGTCCCGCCCCAAAAAGGGGCAACATTTTGAATAATTATAACTTTTATACAATGTCTTGTAAGGGTCCGATTGTCCCCAAATTACACACATCCCAATATTTCCATCCAGCCAAGATACGTTTAAAAGATCGGATCATTCCTTCTGGTACTTCCCTCACAAAGGCTCAAAGCTTTGAATAACAAAAACGATCATAAAATCTGAAATAAGCACCAGGTTCTTTTCATATTTCACACATCCCATTATTTCTACTAGTACATGATCTGCTGTGGAGGTGGAATATATCGATCCATTCCTTCTGGTACCTCCCCCACAAAGGGTCAACATTTTCAATATCCACGAAGCACATAAAACGCGAAATTAACATCCGATTACATGAAGGCTTTGCACATCTCAATATTACCATCAACACAAGATCCAGTATAAAGGTGGAAGAGATGGGACCATTCCTTTTGGTATTTCCCCCATATAGGGTTTACGATTTTGAAAAACAAAACGCTCAAAGAAAGTGAAATAAGCATCCAACTTTCACACATACAAAAATTTTGGCAAACATAAGATCTGTTGTGAAGATGACATATATCTGCGAACCCCTTCTCGTACCTCCATTACAAAGGATCACAATTGTTAATACTTTTATCTGTCATAACTTGCGAAACAAATCAGCGATTCTTTGCAACTTGATATATCTAAATATTTCTTCTAACCAGAAATCTGATATAAATATGTAATTTATCGGAATTTATGATTTCGTATTAAATAGGATATAAATGTTCGATTTCTTTAAATGTTGCACATACCAATATTTATATCGACATTAGATAAAATATTGAGGGTAAACATCTGTAGGCAAAGCCGACTGATAATTTTTAACTTGTTATTTTATTCGAATATATTACATATTTATTGATGGAATTTATTTCTTTCCTTTTCCTTGCAGTTTTCAAACTGGAGAAAATATTAGCGGGTGTTGATTCATCGCCAGGAGTGTCAGAAGGTATGTTACACAGACAGCAACATTTTCCCTTCAATTTTATGATATTTCGTCCTCTTCAGAATGGGGCTCTGGTTGGAAAGGTACAAATTTCATAGTGGAAATCGAAGAGACTGCATCTGCCTCACCCATCGACACAGACTATCTGAGCAGTCGAGAAGATATCGTCAGCACAGAGACAGTCAACGCTACAAATATGATGGCACAAGGTGAGTACAAGGGACAAAAGAGGGCAACTAAACCACATATGACTCAATATTTTTTAAAGGAGCAAATGAAAATTAATTTTAAAAATAAACTTTCTCACGCCCCGCAACCCTACCTTCCATCAAAACCAAGTATTTATTTTGAAAAAGTATTGGGCTTTAGTCGACGAAATATTTTATATAACAAAAGGGATTCTTTGGGAATTATTTGGCAAAATAAAAAAAAAACAGAAATGAGAAATAATGTGAACACATATTTCAAAACAAGACCTCTCTTCTAAGGACAATATAAATTGTTTTGGTAGCACTCTGACCCCTCTCTTATGGAAAAAATATTGCTCGTGTTCCCTTCTGATTGAATAAATTTTAATTTGATTCTCTACTCAGGTCTTGTTACCACATGAGTGAAAGTCAGCCGTATATGAGAGGGGGAGAGATTCACATTTTAATTTTGACAAAAAATCATCATCATCGACAACGTTGTCATCGTCCTGAGCATCCTTAACAAAATCTTTTCAAACAAACACAAAAAGGGAAACCCCAATATTTTGTCAACCAAAAATGCCTTTTCTTTCTTTTTTCATGGCTCCATGGCATTGGTGTAGGTGGAAGATACACTGAACCTTGCCTTAACAAAATTCAACGGATATACACCTCCTCCTCCTCACCCACATCCTCTTAAGCTGTGATGAATTCAATTAATTGAACAAAAAAAAAAAAAAAAGATAAATAGTACCATTCGGTTTTGCCGACAGATGTATACCCCCAGCCGTGAGTTATGATTATTCACACTGTTGACCCTTTGTGGGGGAGGATCTGAATCAGTTGGCCAATATTGTCAAATTCGTATCTGACCTAAGTCTAATATAAATATTAAAACGTGCAATATTTGGACTATATCGTCTACATTTTTGGAAAATGTGGAAATTTGTGTGCGGTACCAGATATAGCGGACCGAAGTATTCCATTTTCATAATTCATCTAATACAGTCAAAAATATTGATGCGTGCAAAATTTAAAGGAAATCTAACATTTGTATTCTATTTTATTCGAAATAAATTCCGATGAATTCCATGTTCCTATCATATTCTGGTTGAGAGAAATATTTAGATATAGCAAATCGTAACGAATCACTGACATGTTTCGCAACTTATGACAGATAAAAATGTTGAAAATTGAGACCCTTTGTGGGTTAGGTACCAGAATGGGTTTGCAGATATGTATATATCTTCTTCACAACAGATCTTGTGTTAGCAAAAATGTTTGTATGTGGGAAATTTGAGGAATGGATGGGTGGATTTGGATACTTATTTCGCTTTCTTTGAGCGTTTTGTTTTTCAAAATCTTGAACCCCTACCTTCTTTAAAACAGATTTTAGTTTCGCGCCTTATGAGCTTCATGGATATTCAAAATGTTGACCCTTTGTGGAGGAGGTACTTGATGAAGTTTACGGCTATTAAGATATGCAAAGTCTGAATGGAATCGGACATGAGTTTCGCGCCTTATGAACTTCATGGATATTCAAAATTTTGATCCTTTGTGGAGGATGTACTTGATGGAGTTTACAGCTATTGTCCTTTTTCGCACCTGACCAAGCACTGATGGAAATATCAGGATTTGCAAAATTGGATCATCCTTTCTCTTTGTGTGCAGTAAAATATTTTTGTTTTTGAAAATGTTGATCTTTTGTTGGGGAGGTGGGAGTCGGCCGATATTGCCCATTTCCGAACTCGATCATAGTTTGATAATATTACGATGCACCAAGTTTGGGCCTAATCGGATACTCCCTTCGAGAGTTATCGGGAGCACTAGCCTGCAGACAGACAGACAACGGACTTTGCTAGATCGACTCCAAATGTTCTGAAACGGATTTGGTCCAAAAAGACCTATGGTCTAAAACCGTTATTTCAATGAGGCACGTTTTGGCCGAATCAAATGACATATATCCTCTCTAGCAATATGGCTGAGAATATAAAAATTTCATACAGCGAAATTTGATGAAGAATATTTTTGTCTTTGACATTGACATTTTAAAATGATACTCTGTTAGAGATTTTTGCACAAAACCTAAAATGTCTTTTAGGAAAATCTTAGATTTCAAATGTCTTCTGAGACTTTTATGTCAAATAAATTTCTAAAATATTTTGACATTCATGGGGAGTTCTTAACAATATTTTGGAAAAAAATTAACAAAAAGATGCGTTTGTTTGAGTGTTAAATTTTTTCACCAAAATAATTTTCGTATTGACGAAGTCACCTAAAATGTGAGAACTTCAAAGAATCTTAATCCGATTATTTCAAAAAATTGGGGAGGGGAAAATTTGTAAGTCACTCAACAATCTTGAATTTAATAATCGACGAATTGAATTTGAAGTGCTCCCAATTTCTCTTGGGAGGTCTTAAAAGTTATTGTCTCGAACAATCACAACAAGGCCTTTGTGGTTTTTGAACATATTGTCTTCAAAATCCCTATAAGGGCATTGGGAATCATTTCTGACCCTTTGTTTTTAAGAGCGGTTTCCAAATCCTAATTTTGAATTCACGACGAAGACATTGGGAGTCCTTGAAGATCACATCTTGGAATTTACGACAAGAGTAATGTGTTTTCGGCAATTCTTTTGAAATTTCTTTTTCTTTTGAAAATTCTTTTTTTTAAGCGGACTTTAAAAAATATAATTTTTAAAGGACTCACGGTTACATTGGCTATTGATCACTAAGACATTAAAAATTCGATTGGGAAAAAAATTTTACATTGAAAATTCACAACAACGGCTTTGGGAGTTCTTGAAAAATTTTGCATCTAAAATCTTCGATTGCGATAATTAAAGTACCTCACAATTCGTGTTTCATGAAGACATGAGAGTAACTCTCCCTCTCTCGGTAAACATTGTGTGTGTATTCTTCTCGAAATTGAAAATCATGAAATCACACAACCGGGCCTCCCACTTTGAAAACTGAAAAGCTACTGACTACAAGTGAACAGTTCTGGTGGTGAGTTTACTGATTGATGGTGAGTCTTATATACAATATTAAGATTGCGTGCAAGGTGTGTTGAATTTTACATGGGTCATGTTTTGGTTAACCCTGCTTTAGAGACCCCAAAAGGTTGTATTTTAAAAATCCACGACAAAACCTTAAAAATCTTTTCTTGAAAATATTTTATTTTTTTATTTATATCTTAATCACATCCATCATTGACCGTCAAAAATGTTTTATTTAAAATCCACTGCAGGGGTATCAACGATTATATCTTTCGAAATCCTTTACTTTATAACCTTGACGGACTATTAAGAATCTATACTCCACAAAAATAAATTTTCAAGAGATTTCATTCGTTCTTCACAATTCACGACTTGGCTTTGAGGGCTTTAAACATTAAATTTTCACACAAAAATAAATTAGGTACTACAAAGGCTTGAAACAGTCACACAAGTTAATTTTTTACACTGACTTCAATAACAAAGCGTTACAAAAAATCACCCAAACGCAATTGATACCAACCAACATCAAATACCACTCACAAATGAAACCAAAACACACACCGCTCAAACCTCTTCGATTGCCCGATGAACTTCAAAAGCCAATTTCTTTGTTGAAATGCGGCAAACATCCCACATCACCGACAGACCACAAAGCGAACCACATTTCATTCGCTGTTTGTTTTGGGTATCCTGCGGTTGTTTGTTTCTGTTACTTTTTTCTATTTTGATGGATTGACTCCTTTCTTGTTTGAAAATCCTTTGAATAAATATTTTCTTTAAAAATTATCCCATCCCGTCATGCTCACATCAACGGATATCAACATAAAAAATGATTGATATTTATTTGTAGAAAAATATTTACTTCTATTTGCCCTTTAACACATTTTGGTTTTGTTTTTTTTTTTTACAGGACCCAAAATCATAGTACGCACCGAAGAAGTTCTCATTGTTGGCCTAGTGCTGATGCTGTGGGTCGGTGCCATTGTCCTGTTCTTTAATCGCTGGGGTAAAATTCGTATGCTGGAACCCTATCAACCGAAATTTCAACAACAACATCGAGCTTCCTGTCCATTATCGGATATCGATTCAATAGCACCACATCAGGTGAGTTGGATTGTTATAATTATGCTTTTTAATGTTAATTGACAAATAATTATTGTTATCTGATTTTATGTCTGTTTACATTTCTTCTTCCCCCCCTTCCAGCGCACATCGGTTTCACGCATGTCAATGGGTTTTGTGAATAATGTAAAAAATATGCCATGTCAATTTAACGCCTATAATAATCCAACGATATATCCCAAAGGTAAGTTGACACAATTCTTGCATTGTATTGGTAATAATTCAATTCGGTATCGTGCTTTAATCTCTCTTTGTGCTTAATTCGAAATGTAAACAATGCACTGTTGAATAATGCGAATACTGATTTTGAATGCCTGAAAGTTGGCTGACCGCCACTAAACCGGTTGGGTATACATTTCATGACAATGAGCAGTTTGAGCATTTGGACAAATATCATTGGTTGGGAAATGGTTTTAGCCGGAAGGAAATCTGTGTTTAGTATTGTAATGGTAACGATGGCGAAGGAGCTATACACATGCATACAAATGTATAGAAGAATTTCAAATTCATAAGTGTTATATGGTATACGAGGGGTGGTATAAAAATCTCATTCGGCAAATATCGAAACATTACAAAGTGGATGAATGAGAAATGAAGGGGATACATTTTTCATAAAAATCTGACTATAGATATGGAAGACCCTACTCATGTTTCAATCAGACAGCAGGATAACGTACACTGTTCGGAGCGAATTTAGGTCCAAATGCATAATTGGACCATGTTGAACGAGTTTTTGTTAGAAAAAAAGGGCGAACCCTACATTTATATTTAGTCAGGGAAAGATCGAAGTAATATGAGGCCGAATATTTGATACCCTATATATGAAAAAATAGATTACTGGATCGGAACCGATTTTGAATAACATTTTCAGAGGCATTTCCAGAGTTTATATGATGTTTACTACCAAATATTATTGATATTAGAAGCCTGTAATGGCTTTCTGATTGGAACATATCTTTTACATGAAATCAGATGAGGATATATATAACAGATATATTTAAATCGGAACGTATTTTGAGAAAAGTAAAATTCTGAGCCGATTTACCGACGTTCTTTTGTCTGTGTGTCTGTCTGCCTATTGTGATCACACTATCTTTAGAACAAATTGAAGCTTACATTTTGCGCACATGTGTATTTTGCCAGTAGGCAGGTTAAATTCGTAAATGCGCCATGCCGGTCCATGTTTTCGTATGGTCCCCTATATAACGGTGTCTCCCAATATTTAAGTATTTAAAGATCATACAAATAGTTAGTAGTTCAACCTATGACAAAAATTACTTATGCAGGCCCACGTCTTCGTATTTCCCTCATATACAGAGTGAGATGAAAAAACTGCAACCAACATTCAGACTGCTGTCATTTCTAAGCCACTCGTCCGACAGCTTTAAAAATTATTCCAGTGACAGTTCATAATATTGTTTAAAAGGGTACAAAATCATTTTGGCGAGAGTTTTCCAGAAAAACAGTTATTCGTGATGAAATTCAAGCGTGATAGTGTGATTTCTTTATATTTGGCTGGAAAAGCACAAGTGGCTATCGTTAGAGCACTCCAGCACTTAAATGTGAATAAATATTTTGTGTCTCGAACCATTGCTTGTTACAGTGATACTGGTAGCGTATCCCGACGTCAAGGAAGTGGAAGGAAGAAAACAGCAACATCAGCAGAATTGGTTCGAAAAGTAAAGAAGCGACTTGAACGAAACCCGCGTCGCAGTGGCCGAAAAATGGCTTGTGAGCTGAACATATCGCAATATTCCATTCGGCAAATATTGAAAAAGTAAGCCCGGGGTAAAACCATTGAAATTCCAAAAATTGCAAGAACTTACACCGCAACAGAAAGAAAATAGACTCAAAAGAGCTAAAGAGTTGCTTCGCTTGGCCGAAAATGGTGAACTCCCGAATTTGGTTTTCTCCGATGAGAAAATATTTTTGTCCAGCAGTTTGAAAGAAACAAAATGATCGTGTTTACTTGCCAAAGAGGTCAGCTGAATATGTGCACCTTCGATTGGCCAACAGAATGCAAGTGCCGGCCATGGTGATGGTATGGGCCGCCATAACAGCCGATGGCCGCTCTCCGCTCGTAGTAATCGACCGTGGCAACAGAAAAATGTCGAATAATATCTCGAAAACATTCTGGAGGGTGTATTAAAGCCTTGGGCACGCAAACATTTTGGCCGCAGACCTTGGGCATTTCAACACGTCTCAGCACCATCGTACTCAGCACGCGCCACCGAAGAATGGTTACAAAATGAGGTTCCTCGCTTCATTTCCAGCACACAATGGCTACCAAAATCTCCGGATACCAATCCGTTGAACTATTGTGTCTGGAGTATTTTGGAAAGCAAGGTTGGCACTAAAAATTCCAAACTTTCAATCACCTCAAGCAAGCGATTCGCCGGGAATGGGCCAAAATACCGCAGAACAACATTCGGGCAGCGTGTGACGGTTTCATTGGCCGTTTGAAGGTCATTATTCGTGCCAAAGATGACCAATTCGAACAAATCTATAATTTTTCTAAAATTTGATGCTATTTTCGAAATTTTTTGCTTTCATTTAATAGAATTTAAAAAAAATGAAAAAATTTGTTGCAGTTTTTTTTATTTCACCCTTTATATGGAAGCTATTTTGCAGAGTTATTTCACATATGATGTCTTCTACTAAAATATTGTTGACAATAGGAACATTTTTCAGCTTAGGGACATTTTACAGTTTTCTGTCTGGTTAGAAATCAAGTCGGCTACAACATATGTGTATGATCATTTACTATATTTTAATCAGAACCAATTACAACCAATTTCAGTAAGTTTCGTCCTTCTACCAAACAAATACACTGTGCATTATTTCATCTTAATCGGACAATAAATGCTACCCATACTTTGCAGGAGAGGCAGACATGAAAAAATTACTCAGAATGGAAGAAACCAAAATAAAAATGTTCAGGCAAATCAAATTGAAGATATGGCCACGACCCTCTGAAAAACTAACATCAGGGGGTATCTTTACATAAGGTAATGTGGACCCATATTAATATTCTTTTGCTAATAGAGTTTCTGCATAATAAGAACTCAAAATATCAAAATTTGGCGAAATCAAATGAAAAATACGACTTACATATAAAAAATACTTGAAATCGGTGTCCAACCTTGTGTAGTTTATATATCAACAATTGGACCGACATGGCAAAGACCAAAACTTGCCTTATCGAAATAACCATTTTAGACCCTAGGTATCTCTGGACCAAATTCGTTTCAGGACATTTGGAGTCAATCTAGCGATGTCCGTCAATCTGTTTTTCTGGCTGGCTGGTGTCCACGATAACTCTCGATGGGAGTATCCGATTTGTTCCAAATTTGGTACAACGTAAAATTATTATCAAACTTGGATCGAGTTAAAAGATGGGCAAAACCGGTCCACTCCTTCTGGTACCTCCCCCAGAAAAGATCGAAATTTTCAAAAAAAAAAAAAAATACTGCACAGAAAGAGGATAATCAGATTTAGCTCTAACTTCGCAAATCCGCAAATATTAGGATCAGCGCTAGGTCGGGACAAGGGTCAACTTTTTGAATAATTATAACTCTTATAAAATGTGAAATAACAGCCCGATTATCTACATGTTTCACACATCACAGTATTTTTATTAACTGGTGTGAAGATGGAACATATCGGTCCACTCCTTACCCTCCTCAAAAAGGGTAAACATTTTGAATATCATGAAGTTCATAAAACGCAAAATTAACATCCGATTCCATTCAGACTTGACACATCTCAATATTTCTATCAACACTAGATCTATGGATGTAGATGGTAGAGATCGGACTATTCCTTTATATACCTCCTCCACAAATGGTTAAAAGTTTGGAATAACCAAAACGATCATATAACCCGAAATAAGCATTCGGTTCTCTTCATATTTCACACATCACAGTATTTCTACTAAAACAAGATCTGCTGTGAACAACAATCGAACATTGGTTGAACCGACTGATGCTTTTTAACTTGTTTTTCTTTGTAAAAGTACTTCTTGCACATTGCTCCTAAATTTCCAACCCTGCAAAGACTTCCTCTGCCACGGTGTTGGATAACTTGTGGAAATCTGAAAATGTTATAATTCATCATCTTGTACGGCACGGAAATGCAATGCAATTTTTCCTAATGACCACTGCTTCCTCAGCCGACAATAGAGAGTTGAAGAAAAGGCAATTGCAAGAGGGGAAAGGGGGCGATAAAATAAAACGCTAAAGTTATGATTATGGCATTATTGCATGTTGAACAAACATTTCTGACAGCTGCTGTTAAGCTACGCGAAATACGAAATCCCTCGTAAGCTGAATGGATGGATGAATGGAACCTTTATAATCACAATGACAGGCATAAAGCCTGACTGTGTCTCAGAATGTTTCTAATTTCAATTCTTGGAAATTATGCGACATAGATTGTTATAAGCGGAAATGTAAAGAACTTAAGACGTTATGGATTACGAGCATAACACGCGAGAGGAAAGGTTAATAAATTGCATTAAAACTTAAAGCAGTTATGGAAAAGAATTTGGTACGGGATGTCGAAGTTGCGAAGAGCTGTAGTATTTTTTAATTTTATATGGGGTTGTTGACCTTAATGATCTTTTAAATTATAAAACTCCATGGGAAGAAATTCTGGTTAGGCGTCTGGATTTCAAGGAGAATACGGTTTAAAGAAAATCCGTCCGGTATACTTGGCTTCTTTGAGGAAACCTCTGGTCTTCCCTGAGAAAACCTTCAGCTCTGCTAGGAGAAGACCTTCAGCTCTTCTAGGAGAATACCATCAGCTCTTCTAGGAGAATACCTTCAGCTCTTCTGTTAGAAGACCTCCAGCTCTTCTAGAAGGAGACCTTCAGGTGTTCTAGGAAGAGAACTCCAGCTCTTCTAGGAGAAGATCAGATCTTCTAGGAGAAGACATTTCGGTCATCTATTAGAAGACATTCAGCTCTTCTAGGAGAAGACCTACAGCTCTTCTATGAGAAGACCTACAGCTCTTTTATGAGAAGACCTACAGCTCTTCTATGAGAAGACCTACAGCTCTTCTATGAGAAGACCTACAGCTCTTCTATGAGAAGACCTACAGCTCTTCTATGAGAAGACCTACAGCTCTTCTATGAGAAGACCTACAGCTCTTCTATGAGAAGACCTACAGCTCTTCTCGGAGAAG